ATGTAGAACAGTACATGTTTTAAAAATGTTACACTTCTATGAAATTTAGTTTTAGCAACAGCTAACATTCGCCATATTGTAAGTGCACGTGCCAATTGTAATTTTATATTCCTTCATTTTACTTTGCTTGAACAACGGAGATAAAAAGAAACATTTCAAATGTTGCCCAAGAGTTACATAATATGTCTATTTCATTTAAGGTATTAGGACCCTAATGGGCACTATCAGGAACTAAAAATTTGACATCATAAGTCAGATGTATACCTTAAAGTACACATGTATGCAAAATTTAAACAAAGTTTACCGTACGGAAATCAAGTTATGGCCACTTTTCTGAACTCAAGCTAGGATGTTATGAGGGCCCTTTTTTTTAGAAAAGAGGAACCTTTAAATAATCTGCAATAACATTCTAATGAAAAAATGTTTTCCCATTAATTTTGGTAAGAAACAAATACAAATGCAGTACCATTCAGCTAACAATCCAAATAAGCAAAATTATAGTTTCTACTTAAAATTTATGAAATCTGTATAAAAATGTTACCCTATCCCTCCCATGTTTACCACGTGTCTGACCATTTTCCTACTAAGGGAGCCTAATTTAAAAAATCCTTAAAATTTACCCAAATGAGTGCCTGTTTTCAAAGTTTCCCTAAATTTTTAAAGAAGTATATTGGTTGATCTTGTAAAATATGAAATACTTTTACCGTCTTGTTTTGATTATATTACACTTTGAAAATATCAGGTACCATATTTATTGCTAGATTTAGCATAATGTAGCCAATAAATACCTATATAATTTAAAAAAAAAAAAAATAAACACTTTTTTCTTTCCAAATGGGACATGAGAGATACATAAATAATGTTAAAAGAAAAAAAGAAAGAAAAAAAAAGTTGACCCTTCTGGGGATTGAACCCATTGCCCTCATTTTCAATGTAGTTAACAATAGTTCTAGCCTATTTGAATACTCTTCAAAGCGGAGGTAATGCATTAGGGTGCTAATACCTTAAAGGAAACACAATTCCTTTTGAATAAAGAGCTAATCGATATCACTTAATTTTGGTGGACCTGTATGCGATATTAGAGACTTTATATGCCATATTTTATTATATGTATCTGGCGATATATTAGAATGCACTAAATCAACAACTAACATCATTTATTTCCTTTTTGTTTAGTTTCTTAGCGTAGATTATACCTAAGTACGTATTGTATTCGAGGTCCCTATCCGTAAATTGACAGGAAAAGGCCGAAAATTTGCGAGTGTATATATCTTTATTGTGTCCGTTTAATTAGTCCTAATTAGTTTAATTAGTAGAATTGTAACTTGACTCAGTCTGTAATTAAAGCCGTTTTATGCTCCCCGAAGGGTGAGTAAATAATCGCCGCATTGTCAGTCCGTCCGCTTTTCTTGTTCGAGACAAAACATACAACATGAAACTTTGTAGGTAGATAAATCTCATTAGTTGGTGTACAATGCACAAGAATTATAACTCTGCCGTGCCTAATTTTGGAGTTATTGCCCTTCGTTCATTTTTCACTAAACTTTGCCCGGGACATAACTCTGAAACAATAAAAGATATCAAAATGAAACTTTGTAGGTATATAGATCTCATTGGGTAAAAGTGCAGTGGAAAAAACATAACTCTGCATTGCTTAATTTTGGAGTTGTTGCCCTTTGTTCATTTTTACACTTTGAAATTTGTCCGGGACATAACTCTAAAACTATAAGAGATATCAAATCGAATATGTCCTTTGATGAACAGTACTACTTAATTAAAAATAAATGCCTAAGAAATGGAGTTAAGGTCTTCAAAAAAAGAGTTTCATCGACCAATTTAATAATAAGTCAATAAACTCGTCACATTAAATCAAGTTGAAGTTGTACCATTTTTTGTGGTTTTACTATTATGTGCAAGACGTAAAATGAAATTTAGATTATGAATATGATAAAATTCAATTGCAAAATATAGTTTCCCCACATCAAATCACAAACAGGTTATATCATTAAAATAAAATTCTGCCTATTGGGTCAAGCTACATTATTGTCAGGCCATTAGGTTTTCTAACATTTCAAGTCCCTTTATCTCGGCTGACTTGGGAAATATGCCAATCATATTCCGAAAGTCACCAAACTCCCAGGTAAGTGACTTAAAATGGTAAGATAAATGATGTTGATATTTCCATCTAGCACTTGTGGTTTAGTACATTTTGTATATGAGTAGATTTTGCTAGTCTAGGATCTCATGTGCTAGGATCTCATGTAATGCAGATTTGGTGAGTGCAAACCAAATGTAACCATAAAGTTGGCAATCTTCATTACCTCGATTTGAGTGTCTGTGTGAACAAAAAGTCTCAGTAAACACAAAAACCTCAGAAGCGAATTGCTTACTTATGCTTGCTATATATTTTCAGACAGGGGAAAGCGCTTAAGGTCAGGGCATAGTCTATCTCTATAGGAATGTAAAATTATTTCATGTAAGGAAGCTTTCCATGCAGCTTAAGGAACGTCGGTGGTTGTACGCATGTGCCGTTTGTTCCTGAAATAAAGCAAGAGGGCACTTAAGGTCTTTCTCCACAAATGAACTGGAAATTCGCTCCCTACTGTGTTTGTGCGATGCAACGCCCAACCAAAGAAAAAGAGGTAAATAAGCGTATTGAAATGACAGCAGGCAACAAAAGAAGTTCAGGATATGATAAATCGAGCAGTACAGCTGAAAAGCTAGCTAGAGTTATAGATAATTAGAAGTTTGATCATTCTAAAGTGCCTTTTCTATAACTATCAGAAAAACTTAAAAAACATGCAACATCGCAGACACTTCAACATGCGGTTGGCACACTGAGAGACAGTATGAAATAAACCCCGTCCCTATTGATTCAGAGAATGAAAGCAAAATCTACAAGGTTGACACTTGAGCCCCCAAGCGCAAACGTTCAAGCTCACGTGGCAAGGATGTGGTCACGTCTTCCTTTTCTTCTTACACTGGTGCTAAGTTTAAGGTACGAATGATTTTCGTTTTCAACCCAAATCAACGTTTCCTATCGTGGCACATAAAGCATCACCAGTTCTGGAAGCTTAAAGCAACCATTCAAACACAACTTAGGGTCCCCGGGCTCTGCTTTGCCTGCCGCAGATATAACCATATAAAGACTTTTCTATATAGTCTCGACAAATTAATGCACAATTATCAGTACTCGTATTACGAGTATGAAAAGTGTCAAAACATATAATTGTCAAAGACAGATTAAAGGAACATTTACAATTTTGGCGTATTATAGATTCGAGTGATTTTATCTTAGATACCATAGAGAATGATTTTAAACTGCCGTTGTATTAATCTTCACCTAAAATAGTCTGCAAAAATAATTAATCAGCTTTGTTGAAATCAGATTTTGCAAATGAAGCTTTTTAAGATCAGGTAGATAGATTTTTAACCGAAATATGTTCTGTTATTCCATATAATATAAATCCAGTGAATGTTACTGTGCAAAGATCTCATAACAAAAGACATACTCTTGATTTGCGAATTATTAATCAGCATCTCAGGAAACAGTCTGTTAAATTTGGGTCTCTGTTCAGATTATGGAATCTTTGGGAATTGGATTAACTCCATTTTGGGTATTATTTATATTCCGGGTCGTAGAGTGACTGAAGCAAAGGATACTGTTTTTTAACTTTTAAATGCAGCAAAATTTCATAAGGTTTCTTGTATGAAAAGTTGCCAGTATTGTGGGTGAACTTATTTCGATGTCAGTAGTGTTAGGTCATGTGACACAGATTATGACTATATGTTTTTAGGGCGAATGTACTTATCGTGAGAGTCACTGTGATTAGTGCACTTTCTCCAGGGTCTATCGAACAATCAATATTTTGAAGTCCAATGTCGGTTTGATCTTCTACTTGGAGAGAGCTTGAAGATGTTTATAAGGTTTTCGGATAATCAAGCAATTGAAAAAAAGTGAACAAAGGTTCTTTGAAAAGGAACTTATAAGGTATACCTTATTAGCTTTTTAAGTTTGATAAATATTTCTTGAGTTAGTATACATCCCTCGTTCCAAGAAAGATAAAGCTGATTATTAATAAATGAAATTGTAGATTTTGACGATTGGGGACTTGCCTGTAAAACTTTTTATTGCAAAAAAATGTATTCGTGAATTTTAGATCGACTTGTTTAATGCTTCTGAAAACAATGTAAAAGAAGATCGTTTTTATTCCAGATATTGGAATCCGTCTTCCGCATGGGAAGATACATTTACAGAAATCTGGTGCAATAGTTGTATATATTTTCCCCAATCGTTTCCGACTGTTGTGCCTTGCTAGAAATCAGCTGTATTCTGAACTATTCTCTGACAGAATGGAAATTTTGTGTCTAGCTTTAATGATTGGATAGATTTGCCTACAAGCAAAGAGTAATATACTCGATGTAAGTTTGGGAAAGGTATTTTTGCCCAAATGTAGTTAAAATTGCAAATAATAGCTTAAATTTACTGCTTTGGTTTTCAAAGGGTGATTTATCGTATGACTTATATTAGTATCTAAGAGTTGTCATCCTTACAGAAAGCAACAGACATTATTGTCAGTGGGCAGCATTGGAAACAATAGTGATGATTTCAGTGAAAAGGCAGTATTGTCCGAAATAGAGTTGTCAGATATGATGTAGGATTATTGATAAAGGAATTTATCAAATGCATTACAAGATTGCTTGATGAAATGTATAGATATATTGATTTTGTTGCAATTATTTGTATAAAGTTATATTTCATGCATACTTACTGACGTTTTCTTTCATTATAATATTACGTTTATATAATTTTCAAAGACGTATGTAGATGAAATTGATAACACCTGTTGAAAATATGACATTATGTTTTGTTTTGTTTTTTTTTCGCTGGAAGAAACGGGCAAAAAGTAATGGGTTTGTGAGCAGGGATATCTTTCCTGCTAAGGCTTTTCCTTTTGCAGTTCATTTGGCTTCATTGACGCAGACAGAAAATACACAAATTCCTGTGTTTTCTGCGTATAATGCAGTCAATTAATTTCACAAATTATTTGATTTTACATCGCAAACAGATTCAAAGTTAGTTGTAAATATTTTAGAATCTTCTAAAAGATTACTTTGCACAACAATAGAACCTATGAAAATGCTATCGCTCACTTGATTTATAATTCCAAGCAGAGAATCAAAAAGAGTAAAAAAGACACAATGTTCAAAGTGTAAAAATTGTTCAAAGAAATTATTTCTTTTCATTTAACTTGGCAATACCGTCTTTTACAGCATTTAAAATCTGTGTTAACGCTTGCAAAGATTTAATGAAATCCCTCATAACACGAGTATGTTCACATAGAAGTTGATTGGTATCCATGTCTGTTTTCTCTGAAATACGAAACACAAAAAACTCAAGCTAGAAGATAAAAGTTTATACAATGTGCATTTGATGAGTGGAACTGATTAAAACAGTCAGTTTGAATGCAGCGTATTTTGTACTTTTCTTACTTCTAGTACACTGAATGTTAGTAGACCCTAATGCTTGCCAATTCTTAAATTCAATCCGATAGCAATAGGACTTTTAACAGCATAATAGTGTTGTTGCTTGGGGTTTTTTTTAATTTCTTTTTTAAATAGATAGTAAGGCATCAATGAATATATCTATCATGTTAGTTTATATTTGCCTAATAAAATTCAAATCAATGAGATCGATACTTACTGTCACATGCTTCCATCTCTGGTTCACACATAGCGGCACCTAAAATAAGGTAGATTTACATTTTTCCAAGTGAAAAAGCCATATAATTTTACATACTATGATAGAGGGACAAAGGTAATATGACACTGTGGAGACATTTTGTATATCTTTGTAAAATAGCATGTAAATACATAAACCGTTGAATGAATGAGATAAACGAGTTTAACTATCAGTATGACCTATATTTCTACAATAGATCATAAGGCCTGCTGGGTGTGACTGAACCACTGTTAACCAAGACCAGGCTCGATCAGTATTCATTTTGAAATCATTCATAAAAATGTTGATCTTTATTCCTAATTGAATCATTGGCATATCCATTGAAGTTATTTTGCATTGTGAGGGTTGAAAAGTGACCTTACCTATTTGCCAAGTCATGACAGTAGCTACTCCGCGAGAAGATGCTTGTGAATTCGTGCCTTCTGCAAGTTTTTCTTGTAAACAAATCAAAGCCCCGTTGGTGGCTTTGCCTGGTTTCCAGAGTCTCACAGAATGGTTGGAATAGCCATAAACAAGACCTCCATAGCTACATGGTTCTGACACAACATATTCATCGTACGCTAGCGCTCCTCCACCAATGAAACGATACCCGGCATTCACACCATCAACGGCTTCAACCTTCATAAAAACATTATAAACAGCTCAACAATCGTAACTAAAATAAATAAACATTTGCTTTATCTATTGAATAATCTGTCCAATGTGGACTTTTTATTGTTTGTTTTGTTATGATTTGTGCTTTTTAAACGAATTTGTAGTTGCATTGTTCGTGTTTATTGGGGTTTGATATGTCGCATTTATGAGCATGATATAATGAAACTTTCAATAGAAAACAATTGAAATTTTATCTATGTTTTCTCTTTCCAAATTCAATACTTACCTTACATGAAGTATCAATTTAAAATTTCTGAAACTATATCCCTTTAATGGCATTTGTTCATAGTTTAAAAGAATGGTGTTATTTCTATATCGTTGGAATTAGACAAATTATTCATTTTATTAAATGTAAGTAATCATATGCTTAGCACTAAACCACACAGACTTACCCAAGTTTTGATGAGGATATTGTCGGTTTGATACGTCTGCCGAAAATCAATGGTCAAATCAGATGAAGAAATGCGCTCTGGACTAAGAGTTTTCTTCAAAGTTTCTGTCGGTATTACGGTTCTCTCACGCCATGCATACAACTCCAGATAAGCAGATGTTACTCTATAGTTGAAACCTGCTCCTCCTTCACCGCCAAAGAACAAAACTTAAAATGTAAAAGTAAAACAATGCTTTGCGAATAATTTTACATTACTACCTTTTAATGAAAAAAGTTTTAAAAGTCTGACATTGGGTATATCTGGAAAAAGGTGATCCCTCGCAGCCTTTATCAAAACAAAATGACTTAATATCAAAGACATGGTTTGATTAAGTCTTTACATGAGGGATAATGAATATTCATTACGTCCCTTGCACCGGCTTGAGCGGTATTCAATTTTCAATATTTAAAAGTGCTGAAATTAATGATCTCGAAGGACAAAAAAGAAATAACAACACTAAAGTGACTCACACTGCAAATTCAGGAAGGCACTTAATTAAATTATGAAAACACAGACGTGTTCATGCATGTTCAGATAACCTACAGTGTTACTTCTGCTAAGCGGTCTTCTTTACAACAATATTATCAGTTTTCCCAAATCCATTCAACCACATCTCTCTGCAATAATAAGAATATTTGTCCTCCAAAGGTTGATTCGATTGCTTCTCCGCATAAGTCTTACTTTAGTGTGTTAGCTGATTTATTCAACGATATAAAATATGTTCAACAAAAATAGCAGTAAAGTTGACTTACAACCCCAAGAACGTGATGGAGCCCACACGCGTATGGATGAGTTATTGAAACCATAAATAACATAGCCATTTCTCTCCTCGTCCGCATACTTTGTGTAGATCATGGACCCTGCTCCTAAAATGTTGTGCAACGTCTAGGATTTTGGTTAATTTTACAAAGGTTAATATTGCTGAAGAGCATTTCAAATATCCATGTATCCATTATTTTTTACAAAAATGTATCTTCTGGAGATATTTTTACTAAATGAATTATTTTATGAGTTTACGAAAATGTTATAAATGGAGTTTTTGTCTAGCTTAGACACGTGTTTAATTGGAGTTTTTGTCTAGCTTAGATACGTGTTTAATTGAAAGGGATTGTTCAAATATGAATATATGTAGAATGTTACCTCACAAAACGATTAAACATATTAGAATTTTTTAAAACAGATACATGTATTGATGTTAGCTTTATGCTTAGATGTCACCCTGTAAAATATGTTAATTTGAGCTGTGTTTATCGCAAACTACTTAAATAATCAGAGTATGCTCATAAAGTGCTGCATTCTTGGCATTTGGTGTAAACATTTTTGATACGTTCTGTTTTCTATTGGTTTAGGAAATTCACATGTGATTTTGTTCAAACATTTTTATTCTTCGGATATGACCGTCGACCGATAACAGCAATGTCTGCCAATACTGCTGCTTGACTAGAATAAATAGTAGTCACTGACGCAAGCTAAACCGCTTGGGGGAACACTTTTATGGTTACCAACTCTTAGGATGCATCTCACCAGGAGCTGTTTTATTTGAGAAAGATATGCGCTGTGTGGATTTCCCATCTGCTTACAGACAGATTGGCATAAGATGTTTAGTAAACAGTATCCATATTACAATGCAATGTATTTTGCAAATGTCGTCAATGGTGAAAAATATCAGGAAGCATTAATCACAATAAAATTACAAGAGAATTGCAAACACGGTTTGATCGAGTCTGTACATGAAGGCATGGGTTTAGTCTTCAGCAAAGACGAAAGATTCAGAACGCTATAATGACATGACCACATAGTCTGATATGAGACCGTTCAATGCAAAGTAGACTAAAACGGGATTATGCAATCGACATACATTTACAAAGAGTATTTGCACTTCCTTAATTAAGCGATAAGTGAAAATATTAACCATCTTCAGATTTTTTACAGAGTTTTGAAGAAAAACATAGTGCTTTATGCTTTAGTGAAAATGTATGATAACTGGTGCATACCTACCTACAGAGTCGGCATAGAAATTCGGATATAAATTTCCTTCTGGAAACTTTATTCTAGAAACCACCAATGCAGGATATTCAGAAAGACCGTGCTGAACAGACAGATAAGAATCTTCACCTGGGAATCATAAAGAATAGTTGTAATAGAATAACCTCAGTACCATAAGATATTTCCTGCAAATTGCCGTTCAAAAAGAAATATTCGATAAAATATCTAATTTTATATAATATATAATGCACATTCACAGCTGAACTAAATTGGCATATTTTTGCGAAATAATATAACCAAACACATATTTCCACAATATCAATCGCCATCATTTTAGAAATCGCAACTTTTGATTGAATGCAATATTTGTCATTCTTTTAAGGTGTGTTTTAAGGGCACATCATTTATATATCTTCTTCTACGGTATTTAATTTATAAAGCAAAGAACACTTTTTTACGCTTTCCCGTTGATGCCGTCAATTTACTTCCTTTATGGATGAAGTCTGGTCGGGGTAGAGAAGATGACCTCCACGCCCTTGCTCGTACAAGTGCTGATAAACTTGTTTGTTCAGCTGGACCTTCCCAATATGGAGAGGTCCCTGCAAGAAAATTATGTCACAACTTTTGAAAAAAGTATGGATGTCAAATGGCATGTCGTCAAATTTGTATTTGAAACAATGATATACAAACATTTTTCTGTATTTATGTGATAATCCATAAAAGCGCATTTGCCATGATAAGGAAAGTAAAAATCGCTCCATGTTACAAATTATGTGCTTGCGATCGATGATTTTTTTTTCTATCGATATAAATGGCGTTGCTGTAATTGTAATGGTGAAAAAAGGACGTTAAAGACTGGTGTAATTATTCTACCCAAAGAAAATGTATTTGTATAATCGTTTGCAACATCGAACTATCTTTCTGTAATCATATTATATCGTTTTAAGTTCATGTACGTAATTGAATTTAACAAATATTTTTAATGCGTGACTTTGAATCACACAGTGATATCAAATTATCATTTTAATGAAATAAGTCTATTCAGTTATTTACCCCCCCCCCCCCAAAAAAAAAGGCCAGTTTACCTGTGTATATGCAGTAGCCAAGTTTACCATTGTTCCTTATTGGAGGAGACACTAAAATGGTTGTGCTATTGTAAATATAGACAACTTGTCCAAACGAATAAATACGATCGTCATCTCGTAAACTGTGTCCTTGAAAAGACAATAACGAACGAGATAACGTACATGTTATTTGTATCCAACCCATCTAAGGGTAAAGAAGAATGAGAGGTAGAAGAGGGAATCAAATTCCAGTTAACCACTCACAATCGGGTCCATGTGCACAAAATAGTCAGGTGTAGAGCCTAATTCTCAGAAGAAATTGATGGTTGACATTATAATTCGCTCTGATTTTAAGGTTGCAAGACTCCATAATTTATGTGGATTGTAGTACCGTTTGCAATGTGTACATTACATTCTTTCTCTTTTCAATTCAAAATATTTTACTTTTAAATACATGTTTAAAATTTCCATGCAAAATTAGTATGAATCTGGAGGCATGCTGCTTTAAAGTCAAAACCCCTTGTTATTGCTATGTTTACAAATGGTTGATGCTATTAATTTTATGAAAAAGAAGTTCTACTTTAAAACTGCTGAACTTTTTGCGCTTTTTTCAGAACTTTTCATGAAAAGACAAAGTCATGAGTGTATGGAAAAAAGTCTACAAAATTTTACATGCGAAAAGTCCATATTAATAATTGATTCTGTAAACTTTTTTTACAATGTGTAAATAACATTTATGTGGCATTTTGCACGGGATTGTCTGCCTTAACACTTCTTGTTCATATACGTTTTCATGATTTCCAAGTAGATGAATGGCAGTGTATCAGCCTCCCTCCCAGGTTTTTTATTAGTTTTTTTTTAATAATCTACCCTTTATAATACAACACTATTTAGCTAAATGCCGTAAAAAAATTATAAATTACTTGAGCTTGTCTACAAAGAAGGGTGAGTCTTTACCTGATGCTGGTAACACAAAGTCTTTGTTCGGACCATCTATCGCTTTAACTTGAACGTCGACAAGTATGGGGAGCTCTTCAAAGCCGTGATTGAAGCTCTTAACATGTGTCAGTCTATCGGCCCATTTGGTACCAGATGAAATAGGCACCCAGCCACTGTCATAGTCCGGTTCATTTATCTTGCTTACAACTAAGAAAAAAGGAGTGTCAGTGTAGCAACTTGAAATCGGTTAATATCAGGACCAAATCATTACCTCACGAATCAATTTATAAAGGCCAACATTGTTTGGTAGGCGTTGTATATAAGATTTCGTTAGTTTTATTGATCAGTCAAAATTATAAAGAGTAATTTAATTTGTGTGGATACATTTTAACTGACCGGGCAGTTTCTGTGACCAAAGTGGTTGCCGACATGCGGAACACTGTCCCGCTAATATGGCTAAGCATCACGCTGGATCTTTCCTGGTCGCCATGTGACCTAAAAATAGTTGGCCTATCTTGAAATTAACCAGCTCAAAAGAAGTATAATAACAAAGGAAAGATGAAAAAGATAATGGCAAGGAGCAAAAAGGAAGTCAGTATTGTTTACCTGACTGCAGATTACTGATAAACATCAAAACAACTAAAACTACAATGACTGCCATAATCCCTCTGTTTGTGCTGAAAATAGAAATATTTTCCTTGTTCTCATTAATGACAAAAACTTGATACTTAGTACATCAGTACTAAGGCAAGTTTTTAAATAGGATGCTGAGCTTGGTCAGATTGGCTACCTTCGAATCTGTGCAACCACCTATATCGTGTATATGTATTTGAATTAAACATGTTTTACTGTCTTAAATCGCGATTTACGTTAAATTCAAATTACTTGATATATTGTTTCATACATCTAGAGCTGACATCTTAAGACTTACATCTGAGTTGAAATTTTAAGACTTATATCTAGAGCTAACATTTTAATCTAGAGCAAACATTTTAAGACTTAAATCTAAAGCTATTATCTAATAGCGAGGGTGAGTATTTTGTAAGTTGGAATTTATTAAGCTCATAAAAATGGTTAATCGGTTTCTTGAAACAAATTTATGTCCTCGACAAATTTATGTCCTCCAAAAGCATTTTTTATTTATTAGTTGTATTTATTTCCAACGTACTGTTCTATTATTACTGTTCAAAGAAATTTTATGGACACAACTAAGAATATTCTTGAATCCTCTTCTTTATCTTTTAAAAATAGAAAGTAACTAATTCATTAAAATACATTTTACACGCACGAAATATAAAGTTTGTGTTCATTGTAGTTCGGAAAACCGCAAGCAAGCATGTTTGTTTTTTCATCAGTCTGATTAAATAATACGGGGGTGAAACAACAGAAAAGGTTTCAGAAGATCTGTATAAAGTGTGTGATCCCTCGGAAGCATAAATCACAACAAAATAAAATGAAAATTGCTGACATGGTTTGATTGAGTCTGTACATGAAGGATTATGAAAAAGTGCAACATCCCTCATGCTCCCTAGCACCGGTTTGGGCACTTCATTTTCAACACTTAAAAGTGTTGAAATCAATGATCCCGAAGGACCAGAACAATAAAACAACACTGAAGTGAAGTACGGAGCAATTTTTTACAGCTGCCACACGACATTTGACTCCTGTCATTGTAAATCGATGAAATACAACGTAAAATTTTTAAAATAAAGGCGTACATACCTTTGTCAAAACTTGCAAATTTTTGCTAATCTCTGTCGTGCTCCACAAAACAGTAAGTCGGATGTGGCATGCAAAATATAACAGAAAGTATTGTCTCTTCGAAATCCTAAAACGCAGTATACTAGTAAAAGGAAGTAAACGTTTATATACTTGTTTGTATGTATTTTATCCCTGAACCTGGTGATTATAATGGACTCGTCCACTTTGTAATTTTGGAACTGTTCATTATCAATTTTGAGTCAGTCAACAGGATATAACCTAACCAGGCTGCACAAATATGCAGATTGACCTGGCTATATACGTTGTGGTCAGGGTAAAAAAAATAAAAGAGAAATAAAGAATCCCTAAAGAACGCACAAAACGACAAAATTCAAAATGTTGATCGAGCCTGTTCATGGACGGTAATTTAATCATGGTAATGGTAAAATTTTTAATTTCAAAACATCGGCAGATGTGTTCACAGGGCGGTCATCATTGGGCGGTAGTAAATATAATGGAATTTTGAAATGGGATCAGAGGTTATGAAGCCTGAAAGACAAAGTTAAAAAGCAGACCACATATCCTAAGGGTCAAGTTGGAAATACTGGAACCACACAAATAGAAAAAAGCCGAATAGAAGGAACTAAACAATACAACAAGCATGCAACAATAATGTCGTGCTGAACGATCTTAATGATCGGAAATATAATAATTCCATGGTTGAATTATGGGGTTACTTTTTACGGCCTCCACACGGCACAAACAACGCTGATGTGGAGAAAATGTAGAGAAAAATAAAAAATCTCTAAAGAACGCGCAAAACGACAAAATTGAAAATGTTGCAGGCTCGGTTTGATTGAGCCTGTTCATTGACGGTAATGGAAATTGCAAGTTACCGTCCACGCCCCCTAGCACCGGGCTAAGCAGAATTCAACATTTAATCATGATAATGGTGGAATTTAGAAACATCTGCAGATGTTTTCATACGGTGGTTATCATGGAACCTTCAATATGACACTATCATGCCATTCAATGAAAAGCGGTGTATTATCCCCATGTAAAAGAATGCGTGTGCCCTAAGGCGGAACAAAATGTAAGGGCTCAGAGGTTATGAAAATCTAGAAAGAGTGAGCTCCCTCGGGCGCATTAATTACAACAAATCATGAAACCTGCATATCACATATCCCAGATAAGCTGTCAAAAAAACACATTTAAAAAGCAGAGGGGGATTAACAGTAAACATTAACATTGGTCTTGCATCAGCTGATATGATTAGTGAAGCTCGATCTCCTTGAATTAGGGATTTTCAAGTGAGGAATACTGGAACCCAATAATAACCATGCATGTGACTACTTTATAAAAATGAGACAATACCTTGAGGAAAAACTCACAGGAATGACAAGTAGCTTACGGGTAATTAAGAGGATGACAATATAGTTGTTGTGTTTCAATGGTGTAAAAGGAAAAACTTGATTAGCTTATTGCACTTTATGCTGCAAAATATTTTCTGTGGGCGAAAGTGGTTTCATCCAGATAAAACAGCATAGTAAATCTGCAAAATACAAGCAGATTTCAGATACAGTTTACACGTTTTGATGAATCTCAAAAAGTGCTCAGCAAGAAAGATTGCAAATCAGTGGCTGCAACTGCTAAAGCCTCAGGAGAAGTTTCATCTAATAAAACAACTCACGTTCAATCCACACAATAGAGAACAAAGACAACCTTTGAAACATCAGGTCACAAAATCTTGTGTGGTGTTTTATAGTAGCCGCTTCTGATTTTTCATGTACACCATGTGATGGCCTTGACAGATTGTTTCAGAAGGTGTTAAAGCGTGAAATTACTGAGTAGTTTTCTTTGTCAAGAACAGAACCATCAAATAATATTTCAGAAGACATACGAGCATTTCTCACTGGAGCAATTGTGAGGGAAGTAATAGGTGGAAGTTTAGGGCATGTTCTTATGTTTGGTAAGACTACATCAGCACAGCAAGGCAGACAATGAAGGGAATGATTCTGTGAAGTATACCTACCCATGAAAAATTCCATAAGTCTTTAAATTTCGTTGTTAACACATCCGATCACAGAAATGTTAATGACAGCTTGAAGGCAGATGGCAGCCCAGGTTTGCCTTACTTAGAACCTTGCCATTCTTCATACATAAGTTAAATACATTCTAGTTTTAATTAGACTTGTGCCTTGTTACTTGTACTGAATTATCTGACATCTTTTCAAATATTATCGGTAATAACAATGTTAACAATAATAGAAAGGAGAGCTAATTTTGATTAAATGGTTTCAATTAACATTTTTAACTCCAGTTAAGATACAACACCAAATACATTTCATATAGTACCAGTATTCTTGTTGAGCATCATTATTATGTGTTGAAGCATTGTGGTAATGTGCACAACATTTTAAATTAATAATGAAAAGAATAAATACATTTCAAGTGACCATTCAGATAATTGTGATGAGCTTTACGGTACCTTTTTACCTATAAAATGATGATATTGTTCAAAGTTAATGGTTTCCTTTATTTTTACGCATATTATTGACTATTGTAAAATCAGTAAGTTTTACAGAAAGAATTGTTAAAATAATTGCCAGCAAATAAAACTGTTTTAAATTGGAAACTCCTATATTTCGCCTCAAAACTATACAGAAACGGTTTACAGACACTTCACCCCCCAGACACTTCACCCTAGGCCCTTTTTGCAGACACTTCACCCCTCAGACAGTTCACCCCTCATTTTAAGAAATTTGATTGAGACACTTCACCCCCCATTTTTTATTTTGTGTTAAACAACTATTTATGCAGAAAATGTTAAATGTATTCAATAGTGATTGAGTATGTTTATTGTTTTAACATATTTTATTATTATTTTATCATGTAATTGACCAAAGACAATGGATATATATATTGTTGTTTTTTGCCCTAAAAAAGGCTCATATCACAAAGTTATTAGTAAGTAAGTTCTTTATTTTTTATTTTATCTTTATATCTTTTATACTAATTTCAATTTAAGTGAAAGTGATATAACTAATTGTAGCATAATCCTTCTATTAAAGTGTGTGAACCTTTTCGTGAATTTTCCTTTGATATATATTGAACACAAACTGAATACAAACTGAACTGGCAACACATAGCATGTGATACCTGTAAGTTTACTTAATAATTTGTTAGCAACATTTTTTAAGCATATAAAGAAATACAAATTGTTCTTTTTTATTTATTACATTTATTACATTAATGGATAAATAAATAATTCATTCATTCATTCATTTATATTCTTTTATATTCATATTATTTATTTAGTTATTTTCAAACAATATTATTTATTCATTTATTTTTCATACAATACAATTTATTTCTTTTACATACACTATTATTTATTTATTCATTTATTTCATTTTCATACAATTATACCTTTTTAATCCAATTTATAATCTAATCAATTATGAGATAACTGTTGAATAAACAACCAATCAACAAGTTGAATAAACAAGGTGACATGCAATAAACACTTAATAATGGATGTGCTTTGTATAACAGTGGGCAATACGATGATCATGAATTAAGGTCAAGGACTGAGGAGTTCTTGGAGAAAGTGGGTGAATTTATGGACATTTATAAGAATGTGGTTTTTAGAACCAGTAAAATGTTATGTTTTATTGCATGTTATATGTAAATGATTTAAAGAAATTATTACATGTGTAATAACATGTGTTATTTGTTTCTGAATTATTTACTAAACAAATATTTACTCTTAGAAATGTCTGTAAATTGTCCTTTAATTAAAAAATTATGAATCAAATTATACTAAAAATAATTAAAATAAACACATGATATAAAAGCATTTTTATGGCTTATTTTAGAAAAAATTGGATGAGGGGTGAAGTGTCTTACTGATTTTGGGGGGTGAAGTGTCTTGAGGGGTGAAGTGTCTTCAAAATTTGAGGGGTGAAGTGTCTGGAGGGTGAAGTGTCTTGCTACCACAGAGGTTTACAATAAACACATGATATAAAAGCATTTTTATGGCTTATTTTAGAAAAAAAATGGATGAGGGGTGAAGTGTCTTACATATTTTGGGGGGTGAAGTGTCTTGAGGGGTGAAGTGTCTTCAAAATTTGAGGGGTGAAGTGTCTGGAGGGTGAAGTGTCTTGCTACCACAGAAACTCCTATATTTCTTTCGAAAATGTTCCTATATTTCTCCTATATTTCGGATAAGTCCTGGTTGACATCATGTTAATTTCACCTAAATCAACAATCCTTGACCAAATGTAGAAGACAAAAAATCACGTACAGAAAAAAAAATTCCAAAAAAAAAAACTGAGGGGTTCCTATCACCCCCCCCCCCCCCCTTTAAAGTGAGTTTTTGATTTTAGCTCATTTTCAGGAGCAGATGACTCGATATATACATATAAATCCGTGGTGCCACTTGTAATTTTATATTATTTCATTTTAACGGCGATGAAAAGAAACATTTCAGATTTTGTCCCAGGGTTACATAATAATATACTATGTCTATTCCATTTTTAAAGGAACACAATTATTTTTTATAAAGAGCGATCGATATCACTTAACATTAAGTTTACTTAATTTAGGTGGACCTGTACGCGATATAAGAGACTATATACTCTATATACATGAAGGCTCTAATGTCTCTAGCATATTTTTTCATTACTATTTGTTTACATGTTTAGTTTCTTAGCGTAGATTATACCTGAATACTGTATTCAAGGTCCTTATCCGTAAATTGACGGAAAAGGGCCGAAAATGTTTATCACTTTAAATATTGCGCCCGCTTTAAGTAGTTCAAACTTGACTCATTTCTGTAATGTAAGCCATTTATTCTTATCAGTTCCTATGTCATTTAGGTCTACAAAAAAAGGTTTCATACAGCTATTTATTAATTATTCAATAAAATCGTCACAATGAACTAAACTGCGCCCCTTTATCGCCTCAAAATAATTTTGTGCGAGCACCTGCCCTGAAAACGTATTGATTGGCTAAATATACACAGTTGGAGAAATATGACGTCATCACACGAGTCAGTCATACAAAGATGGCGGCATAGTTCATAATTGCCAATTAAATCTGGAAAAAAGGAATATATCGTGATGGAAGTAGCAAAAAATAGCGAGGAATCATCGCCAGGTTCATTGACGGGCATGTCTCGTGCGGCAAAACTGTTTATAAAGATTGACAAAGACGGATATTTGGTTGATTCTTTAGCGATTTCTGACGTCGTCAATTTTGATTGCATCGAAAGCATTGTGACCTCAGCAAAGCGAGTAGTTTCACTGTTTTTTGATGTCACACCACGAGATGTAGATATAACGGGACTATTTTATTATAAGAAACGAGCACGTTCCTTGCGTATGAATCCAGTTCCTCTCCTAACTACTACGGACGGATTTCGAGCTGTAGCGGAACATCCGTCCGGGGAGATTCCATTAGGAATTGAGTGGCAGAAGAAAACTTCCAAGTTTGCGTCATCGCAACCAGTAAGTGTCGTAACTATAAATTTTTCCCACTTTCTCAGCGTAGTTGAATAATTTGAACGACCCATTATTATTCTAATGAGAAAAAAAACGAAAATATATCTACTTTCACTTTCACTTAGTTTGGTTCAGGCTATCAATGAGTATCAATGTTGAAGTTTTATTTTTGTGGCTTTACTATTTTATACAAGTGAAGATTATGAATATAATGAATTACAGTTCCTAAATATGTTCCACCCACATCAAAACACAAAAATATCAAATCATGTTATAACCAAAAAACTGAATAAAGTGCTCCATAATAACCGCCATAATAAAGCTTTAGATAAGATCATCTTTCTATTTATAGTCGGTTGCAACAATCATATAAACATAAGCTATATATTAGCTATTTCCGACATAACAGGCTATCCTTTAACAATGCAAACAAACAATCTGTATAAAAGCAAAAAAAGGTATATATATGTTGTGGTCAGGCCTTAAATTGACACATTTTGTGTTGACAAAAATGTTCAGCTCCCTTAATACAGAATTAATTATTCTAAACTTCACAATGCGCCCCCTTTATCGCCTCAAAATAATTTTGTGCGAGCACCTGACAGACATATGACGTGGGACATGCTTAATTTTTTTTTTGTCTCGTGCGGCAAAACTGTTTATAAAGATTGACAAAGACGGATATTTGGTTGATTCTCTAGCGATTTCTGACGTCGTCAATTTTGATTGCATCGAAAGCATTGTGACCTCAGCAAAGCGAGTAGTTTCGCTGTTTTTTGATGTCACACCACGAGATGTAGATATAACGGGACTATTTTATTATAAGAAACGAGCAAGGTCCTTGCGTATGAATCCAGTTCCTCTCCTAACTACTACGGACGGATTTCGAGCTGTAGCGGAACATCCGTCCGGGGAGATTCCATTAGGAATTGAGTGGCAGAAGAAAACTTCCAAGTCTGCGTCATCGCAACCAGTAAGTGTCGTAACAATAAATATGTCACACCTTCTCAGCGTAGTTGAATAATTTGAACGACCCATTATTATTCTAATGAGAAATAAAACGAAAATATATCTACTTTCACTTTCACTTTGACCTAGTTTGGTTCAGGCTATAAATGAGTATCAATGCTAAAGTTTAATTTTTGTGGCTTTACTATTTTATGAAAGACATTTAAATTAAGTGAAGATTATGAATATAATGAATTACAGTTCCAAAATATGTTCCCCCTACATCAAAACACAAAAATATCAAATCATGTAAAAATAACCAAAAAAAACCTGAAAAAAGTGCACCATATTGGATCAAGCTAAGATAAGGTGAGATAATCTTTATTTATAGTCGGTGGCAACAATCATATAAACATTAGCTATATATTAGCTATTTTCCGACATAACAGACTATCCTTTAAAAATGCAAACAAACAAACAATCTGTATAAAAGCAAAAAAAAGGTACATATATATTGTGGTCAGGCCTTAAATTAATTGACACATTTTGTGTTGGCTAAAATGTTCAGCTCCCTTAATCTTGACAGACTTGGGACATGCTTAATTTTTTTTTTGCTTATTGAGTTTATATCGTCTGACAGTAATCACACTTCCAGGTCAGTGACTTGATGTGATGGACCGTTAGTTATAGCATTTAAATGGTTAGACCTAATCACCTATGTGTTGGCATTCAACTAGCAATACAACTTACAAATTATACAAGGACAGCTATGCATGGATCTGACTATTCCTACCTTTACTGGAGGGATTGATACACAATAATATGTTGATCTGGCACTCGTGTTTGGGTACATTTTGCTTGGCTAGGATCTCATGTATGATGTAGGTGCAAAATTGCTGGGTGCAATCCAAATAGAAGTTCTACAGTATGATGGAAATAAAATGCACAGAATGGCAATGGTTCTGCTCCAATACCTATGTACTAGTGCATCCTACAATGTATAATACATGGTGTATAGAGAGGGTCCTGAGCTCTATGTCCACAAGTAAAGTTGGCAAAATCAAATCTTCATCTTAGTTCTTACCTCAATTTGAGTGTTTGTGTGACCAAAACCACTCGAGAAACATTCAGTCTGAATGGAACATTTTGCTTACTTCTTTGTTACTACATGTATTTGTCGCTATTTATTTTCAGACAGGTGAAAAGCGCTCAAGGTCAGGGTCACCAGTAGCAGAAGTTCTTGAAAAAAAGAAAACCAAACTTGATGTCCCTTCAAAATATAAAACTTATATGGTAAAAGTCTTTATTTTATTGTGTACCCTTCATTTTGACATTATTATTTAACTTTCTTGTATTAATTGATTTATTCTTTAAATTTACAAAAAAAATTCTCACTATACCTGTATGTTTATTTGGTATCAAGCTGTTATTCAGTGTGTATTTTAATTTATTCATAGCCTACCTCTAAAGCAGACACTAGTTCCCTAGCAACAACAACATCTGTGTCAGCGGATAAACTAGAACCTCCAGAGCTTGTTATCAGACAGAAAAAGGAAATACTAGAGGAATCGAAGCCTGCTAATAGTCAGGTATATTATAAGGTATGAATGTAAACAGGGTTGTTTGTTGTTGTTATTTTGTTTTTAATGTTTTCTTGGGGGGGTGTTAGAAAGCTATTCATGTATATGCAAGTTCAAGCTGTAAAGAAGTAAAGGCATTTGCTGCTCAACCCAGGGTTCGTTAGTTCAAGGTATTTTCTAGACAAACCATGTTTCTTTTTATAATTTGAATGACAACAGTACTATAAGTTCCAGGAAAGAACTGTACATAAGTGATCAATGTAAGTTGCAAAAACTCGGTTCACAATCAAAATCAAAATAAGTGTGTTTAGACTAAGTGGTAGTCAACTTACAAAATATCACTGACCTGTACCAGTCAAGAATAAAGGTTATATGAAAAGTGGTTACAGGCATCTGTATTTCCAGGCATCCATAGCCGAGCAGGACTTCCGCTAGTGGACATTTGGAAGTCATTTAATCTTAGATTTTGGCTGTGACTTCCAAACTGTAACGCTTTCCCTTCTTTATCTATTTTAGTAAAATGTGACTTAAAATGTCAGAGGGTCAGAGGTTTTTACTGTCTCTGACTTCCAAATTTTGAAAATTAATGCAAGCCTCGGCAGAGTGGTTAAGGACATTGACTACAAACCACTAGCTCCCTCACCGCTGTAGGTTCAGATCAAGTCAGTATATATCATGTGAGGAAGCTGTCCAGCTAACTTAAGGAACGTTGGTGGTTCTTCTAAGGTGCCGCTTGTGACTAAATAATGCAGGGGAGGAGGATCTCAGATCTTCCTCCACCAATAAAGCTGGAAAGTTGCCAAATGACCTCTACTGTGTTGGTGCAATGAAAAACCCAACAAACAGAAAGAAAGAATTGGTAATTAGGCGTACATGTACATGTATTATCAAGCCACCATGATGTGTGCATCATCTAGAAAAAATTCTGAATAACCCAAATCAAAGCAGGTACAATTGCGCCTTTTGTTTCGATAACAATTAAATGTGTTATTGTACAAAATTATTTATCTCTATGACATGTATAGTAGAATTTTTCCTTTTTACATTTAAGTGATTCATTATGGTTTGATACTAATGAAAATTTCTATGTAAAATTTACAGAAGTCCGAGGAAAAGTCACAAGTTCATCTAATACCATCGGTTGTAAAGATCTTAAATGGTGAGGATACATCGAAGAGGACCCCTAGACCACCAACAAAGTCAAATTACCATTGGACAGGAGATGTATCTTGTGAGGTTAGGGCTTTATTGTATTTCAAAGAAAATCCTTTTTTATATGAGTAAAGTTTTCAGGATTATCCCTGAAGTTGAGGGTTTTCAGTCTCCTGAAAGCCTTCTATGTAAAACTATAGAAAAACTGCTAAATTCAGGATTTTCAGAATTTTTAAAATTTCCATGTATTTTACAAAAACTGTCTTACCACCTAATAATGAAATATTAATGTTTTATTTTATAATTTATGAAGTCCAATATGTACCAATACCTGTTGACTTGCCTGGTCGATAAATTACCACAAGAATTTAATAAATCCTTAAAATAAATTAATACTTTAAGTTATTGCCCTTGAATTTGCCTCATAAGATATCTTAAGCAGGATCTTTATGGAACTTATTCCCTATGATTGTAGAAATAATTTAAATCATTGCTATAATTTGTTTCCTGGTGACATTAAACAGGTACGGCACTCTTTATCTATGGACATTAAATAACCATGTACATATTCAGTGATGAATGGTCATTATTAAATGACTTGTAGAAAACTTCAGCATCTTTTATGAAGCTATGCTTACTACCCGGTATTTATTAAATCATTGTTTTATAGATAATGCACACAAATTATTTTTGTTTTTTTCGTTGGACTGTGAATCATGTGACCGAGTTTGATTCCTAGACCGCACAGGTTACTTTCGTTGTGACTAATACTTTCTACGGTCATTCGCACTGTACCTCTGCTCTGGTATGTACATAAGTTTCAGTTTCTTGTGAAAGTGGAGGAAACTATAGTAGTAAACTGCTTGACAGCCTTCCCAGGAAAAATGCGGTGGTTGAACTTTGCTCCGGTAAATTCATTGTGGCTTACTGCCGTGATCCGGAGTGAAAACTACCAGCACCACCATCAGAGGTCATTTGTATGTCTCTCGTTTGTTATTTCAGGTGATAATGACTTACAACGGGATCACTGAACGGCAGAAGGTTAAGCCTCGTCTTGGACGGATCATACAAAACTTGGTGAAAGGCGATTACACTACCTTGAGGGCCGATGTACAGCATAATTTAAATACGTATGTACATGCACTATGAATCGTATGTTGATGTGATAACCTTTCTCACATGAAGATGAAATTAAATATTGCCTAGTTATGCAATCTATTGTAAAAAAAAAAATATGATTTTACTGATTAATGGATGATGCCATTAACACTGAATGTCTTTATCTTCTGAATACTGAATAACATCTTACACTATATTTGATCGATTTTTAAAAATGAGGGTTCCAGTAAAAATATAGTTACAGCATTATAATATGCTCATTTGAAAAAACAGGTTGTATTATGGGATGGCTTCTGGCTGGCAGCGTTTAATGTTGTCCAGAGCATATCTTTTACATGCTTGTATGGATTTTAATAAAACTTGTTGCAAATGTTCACCACCATAAGATGTAGTGTCATGTGCATGACACAGGTATCTAGGTCAAAGGTCAATGTCACACTTTTGAGAGGTCAGAGGAAAAACCTTGTCTGGAGCAAAATATCTTCATGCATTAAGGGATTTTAATATAACTTGGTGCAAATGTTCACCAATGTGAGTCAGAGTGTCATGCACAAAATTCAGATCCCCAAAGCCAATGTTAAAATTACTCTTAGAGTGGAAGGTCAGATAAAAAAAATGAAAGTATGACTATTTACCATTAAGTCATCATGAATTGAGCAATTTTAATTCAAATGTTCACAGTTATGAGACTAATCTTTTTTGATGGGCATATTTTGTGAGTGATGAGAGATAGCACTCCTTTGTATCATAATTTCACAGAATTTAATGATAATTATTGCGACCATCTTTTATGACTAGTGAAGAGTTAAAAAAACTTGGATATCATTATTTTTTGTGACCATCTTTTATGACTTGTGAAGAGTTAAAAACTTGGATATCATTATTGTATATGTTTCACCGTCAATGCATATATATTTATTTTTCAGTGAAACTAAACAGGAAACGTTGAATACTGTCAACTTTAGAGGTGATGAAAAACAAAAGCAAATTACCTGTACGTTCATGAAACTAGATATTATTCATTATTATTTTGATGTGAACAAAGAATTTACCTGATAACACATGTACTGTCTTTATAAAGACAGTAATGTAAAACATAATTAGCTCATCTGTTTTCAAAGAAATTGTGAAGCTAATATGATCGCTGTGGCACTTTTGTCGTGCAAAAACTTTATTTGTACCCCATTATTCAAACATTTTAAAAGGTATCAACATGAAACTTTGAATACTTGCTTATCATGACAAGGTGCAGTTGTTAGACAAGGGACTTAATTCTGGGAGCAATGTCAGGGTTTTCATTATTAACAGATTGGTGATCCATATCATCAGTTGAAATGCTGTTGAAATTGGTTGTAATTTCAGCCTGTAGAGTAAAATATCTCCCTTGACCATCGGCCCAATCGGTTGTTTTCGTTGCCACATATGTTGCCTCTAATAAAAATGAAAACCCTGAATATTTTTTGGAGTAATGGCCGGGGCATATAGTGTTACCCTGTTCCGTCCTTCTGTCATTCCCTCCTTCCGTCATTCTGTCATTCCGTCATCATCAGTTTCCGTTCATTATCTTAATAACGGTTGCACACATTCAACTCAAATTTGACATATGGATATGTCATGAGAAAATACAGGTCAAGTTCGAATTTGGTCATGGTTCGATGATTTTTGGCAGAGTTATGCCCCTTTTACTTTGAAAATAATATGAAATTTTCAGTTCCGTTCATTATCTCCCCAACAGTACAACACATTCAACTCAAATTTGACATATGAATATGTCATGATAAAATACAGGTCAAGTTCAAATGTGGTCATGGTTCGATGATTTTTGGCAGAGTTATGCCCCTTTCACTTTGAAAATAATATGAAATTTTCAGTTTCCGTTCATTATCTCCCCAAAGATACAACATATTCAACTCAAACTCGACATATGAATATGTCAAAGGAATGCGCAGGTCAAGTTCAAATTTGGTCATGGTTCAATGATTTTTGGCAGAGTTATGCACCTTTCACTTTGAAAATAATATGAAATTTTCAGTTTCTGTTTATTATCTCCCCACCAGTACAACACATTCAACTCAAATTTGACATATGGATATGTTTTTGGAATGCCCAGGCCAAGTTCGAATTTGGTCATGGTTCAATGATTTTTGGCCGAGTAAAGCCCCTTTCACTTTGAAAATAATATGAAATTTACAGTTTCTGTTCATTATCTACCCAACAGTGTTACATATTCAACTCAAAATTGACATATGGATATGTCAAAGGAATGGGCAGGTCAAGTTGGAATTTGGTCATGGTTCAATGATTTTTTGGCAGAGTTATGTCCCTTTCACTTTGAAAATAATATAGATACATCTTAGGAATAAGCAGTTTAAGTTTGAATTTGGTCGTGGTTCAATGATTTTGGACAAACTTATCTTTCTTGAATGTTGGAAAAATTTTGAACTTTCAGTTTCAGCACTCGTACTTTTGTGGAAATGTATGTAGCCATTATTTTGGCTACAAATATGAAATATGCTATTTTCAAAAGGTTAAGACTGAATAATTTCAGTGCCTTGAACATTGTATGGAAATGGTTTGTGTTAACATTGAAAAGTTTTAAGGGCTTTGAACTTAAAATGAAAAAAATAATTTGTGCAAACAAATTTGGAACTAAATATTATAACATCTAAAATTTTGGCTGCATGCGGGGGCATCCGTGGCATGATGACACATTTCTAGTTCTTTTTCTCGTAAGCTTGGAAATTTCATAATTTTGAAAGTTAGTTTATTGTTTGAATTGATTTATTCTACAAATAAACATTAAAATATTGTCTGTTCTTTCAGATTTGAATGAGGCAAAGACGGAAGTGTTCAAGGTGTTATCAGCATTATGTATGAGTAAAGCTAGATTTAAAGATCTCTTAGATTGGATGAAGACCCTCAAGCTAGAAGAAGGAAATCAAGGTAAATGTGAAATTGAACTCAACTTAATCTAATTTACCCTAAGACTGTGTAATGGATTTGCCCTGCTTTGACCTTGGGAAAGTCATTTTGGATTTTTAGGGATTTTGATACCAACATAAAAAAATGAGTTACCAAAAGTATAGAGCCTTGCCAGACTACACTTATATGAAAACTTGCCTGGATCTGTTCAAGTGGTGTAGACAAATCATTTTTCAGATTCATTAGGTTAATGTTTAGTGAAAAAAAAAGATTTTATAATAAGAAATAAACTATACTCTCAATGCTTCTAAACTACGTTATTGTGGAAATCTTTCTGTACATTCTTACCTGACAATGTTTCATTGCAATATAATTGTTATTGATATTTAAAATCAGACAAAAATATCTTAAAAATTGATAATATTAAATTATCGGGATGGTAAGTTAATGTGATGCCACATATATTAATATATTAATATTTTTATTTTAGGAAATTATTACATGTCTGATGCAAAATTATTACCTCTCTAAGGCATATTTTAATTTTGAATTTTAAGAAAATATTACCTGTCTTATGCCAATATTAATCTTTAGTTTGTTTGTTTGGGTTTTACGTCACACGGACATGGTCATATGGCGACTTTCCAGCTTTACTGGTGGAGGAAGACCTTAGGTGCCCTTCCGTGCATTATTTCAGGCACAAACAGGCACCTGAGTAGAACCTAATCTTTAGGAATCATTACCTGTTTGATACCAATTTTAAATTTAGGAAATTATTACGTGTTTGATACCAATTTTAATTTTTGATTTTAGGAAAATATTACCTGTCTGAAAGGAATGTGATTGGAGGAGGTTTGAGGGTCATGTATGACACGGATGAACAAGTCGCATCCAAACTCAACTCTATTCAAAGGATTCGTGGTAAAGCAAAAGAAAAAACCAAACAGTTGTATCCAGTACAGTCAACTTTGAATCCATCTAAACAAGGAAATTATATGATAATGGTTCCCAGCTCGAATACTACAGGGGGAGTCACTCCTATTGCTCAAACTGGAGTAATGGTTGCAAATTCTAAATCTGGTGACCAACAAGTTGGCATTGCTCCAGTAATGCAAGCTGGTCAATCTTTGGTCCCGTTAGTGTCCACAGTACAAAACCCAAATCAACCTCACCCAGCCTGGTCAAAAGAGGCTAGTATACTTAAAACAACAGAATCAAAATCTTCCTTTGTGTCGATTTTAAATCAAGCACCTAAATCAGTAACCTCAATGACACAAACTGAAACATTTGTGAAACAGAGTCCAAAACACACGCCTAGGCAACCGAATATTTTACGCTCTAAATCACATAAAATTGTCCCGCCATCGGGTGATCCAGTTCCTATGCATTTATTCAGGTCTTACATAACTGGCAACATGCCAGATAATACAAATATAGAAAACTATAACAGTAATGATGATACTAACCCAGAGACGACACTTCCAACAGTTATTATCAAGAAGGAACCAATGGATTACGATAGTGATAATAATGACAACGAAGACAACAGTAAACATTCACAAGATGAACCTCATGACAAGTTTAAAGATGTCCTCAATTCAGATGCACATATGCCTGTAGATAACGAGAGCAATGACTTAAATATGGAACTAGTGATCAAAACAGAACCTGTGGACGATTTTGACAGCTGATGGATTTGAAATACTGGGATTTAACAGTACGAAAGAAATATGAAAAGTGTTATTTGGCAAAACATTTCATGTACCATCTGGAAAATAAAGTCCCCTCTTTGTTGTTAAATGGATAGACTCGTTCAAGCATTTTCTGTGAAAGTCGGATGGTTGTTAAACAATAAGAAGATGATGTTAAACACTAAGAAATTACGTCTTTTATAGTTATTTGACTTTTTTAGCTCACCTGAGCTTGCTCAGGGTGAGCTTTTAGGATCGGTGAATGTCCGTCGTCCGTCGTCCGTCCGGCCGTCCACAATTGCTTGTGAACACTCTAGCGGTCGCATTTTTGCCTCAATCATCATCAAACTTGGTCAGGATGCTTATCTAGTTGAAAGCTCGGATGAGTTCGAACATGGGTCATCTCGGATGAAAAACTAGGTCACAAGAGCTAAAAATAGAAAAACCTTGTGAACACTCTAGAGGTCACATTTTTGACCCAATCATCATCAAACTTGGTCAGGATGTTTGTCTAGGTGATAGCTCGGATGAGTTCGAACATGGGTCATCTCGGATGAAAAAGTAGGTCACAGGAGCTATAAATAGAAAAACCTTGTGAACACTCTAGTGGTCACATTTTTGAACCAATCATCATCAAACTTGGTCAGAATGCTTGTCTAGTCAATTGCTTGGATGAGTTCGAACATGGGTCATCTCTGATGAAAAAACTAGGTCACAGGAGCTAAAAATAGAAAAACCTTGTGAACACTCTAGTGGTCACATTTTTGACCCAATCATCATCAAACTTTGTCAGGATGCTTGTTTAGATAATAGCTCAGATGAGTTCGAATATGGGTCATCTCGGATGAAAAACTAGGTCACCGGAGCTATAAATAGAAAAACCTTGTTAACACTTTAGCGGTCACATTTTTGCATCAATCATCATCAAACTTGATCAAAATGCTTGTCTAGGTGATAGCTCGGATGAGTTCGAACATGGGTCATCTCGGATGAAAAACTAGGTCACAGGAGCTAAAAATAGAAAAACCTTGTTAACACTCTAGTGGTCACAATTTTGACTCAATTGTCATCAAACTTGGTCAGGAAACTTGAATAGGTCATTGCTTGGAATAAATCGAACATGGGACATCTCGGATGAAAAACTAGGTCACATGAGCTAAAAATAGAAAAATCTTGTTAACACTCTAGTGGCTACTGTTGTGATCCAAATATTCTGTTAATTGGTCTGAAAGTTTTTTTTGATGATTTCTAAGTCAAGATCAAACATGGGTCATCTTGGATGAAAAACTAGGTCACACCGCCCAAATATGGAAAAACCTTGTTAACATTCTAGTGGTCACATTTTCGACTCGATTATCATCAAACTTGGTCAGGATGCTTGTCTAGGTAATTGCTTGGATTAGTTCGAAATCGCATGTGAAACTAGGTCACCGGAGCTAAAAATAGAAAAATCTTGTTAACACTCTAGTTGCTACTGTTTTGATCCAAGTATCCTGGAAATTGGTCTGAAAGTTTGTTTTGATGATTTCTAGGTCAAGTTTGAATATGTGTCACCTGGGTAAAAAACTAGGTCGCACTGCTCAAATATGGATAATCCTTGTTAACACTGTAGTGGTCAGATTTTTGACTCACCTGTCATGAGACTTGGTCAGAATGCTTGTCTAGGTAATTGTTTGGATGAGTTTGATAATTCAGGTGAGCGATCTAGGGCCATCATGGCCCTCTTGTTCACAGTTCCTGAAAGTATAAACCTTGTGAAATTTTAAAACTAAGGTCTTAGATCATGTTTTACTTACATATCTAACTTGTGCCATAAATTTAAATAGGACCATTAAAAAATTGTTTATATCATCTAGGTACTTTCATGTTTATTCTTTAATGTTAATAATAGTTAACACCTCTGTAAGCATATTTAATGTCAGCAATGGTTAACTCCCCTGTAAGCACATTTAGTGTCAGCAATGGTTAACTCCCCCGAAAGCACATTTAATGTCAGCAATTGTTAACTCCTCTTTAAGCACATTTAATGGCAGCAGTGGTTACCTCCCATGTAAGCATATTTGGTGTCAGCAGTGGTTAACTCCCCTGTCAGTAATGGTTAACTCCCCTGTAAGCACATCAAATGAAAGCAATTGTTAACTCCCCTGTAAAAACATTTAATGTCAACAATGATTAACTCCCCTATTAGAACATCAAATGTCAGCAATGATTAACTCCCCTGTAAACACATATAATGTCAGCAATGGTTAACTTCCCTGTAAACACATAATGTCGGCAATGGTTAACTCCCCTGTAAGCACATTTAATGTCAGCAATAGTTAACTCCCCTTTAAGCACATATAATGTCAGCAATAGTTAACTCCTCTGTAATCACATTTAATTTCAGCAATTGTTAACTCTTCTGTAAGAACATCAAATGTTATCAATGGTTAACTTACCTTTAAGAACATATAATGTCAGCAATAGTTAACTCCTCTGTAATCACATTTAATGTCAGCAATAGTTAACTCCCCTTTAAGCACATATAATGTCAGCAATAGTTAACTCCTCTGTAATCACATTTAATGTCAGCAATAGTTCACTCCCCTTTAAGCACATATAATGTCAGCAATAGTTAACTCCTCTGTAATCACATTTAATTTCAGCAATTGTTAACTCTTCTGTAAGAACATCAAATGTCATCAATGGTTAACTTACCTTTAAGAACATATAATGTCAGCAGTGGTTAACTTCCCTGTAAACACATATAATGTCAGCAATGGTTAACTTCCCTGTAAACACATAATATCAGCAATGGTTAACTCCCCTGTAAGCACATGTAATGTCTGTAATGGTTAACTCCCCTGTAAGCACTTGTAAGATTTACTTGATTTATTCATCATACCTGTGTGTCCTTTCGTACAATTGGCTTAAGTTTAACCAGTAAGCATCTAATTTGCTTAATATAAACCTATTAGCATGTTTTGAAGTTGTACAGGGTGTTAATTATGCTCTCTGATGACTTAACATAAATTTGAAAGAGAAGTTTCAAGTGTCTTGATGTTAATTTCTTTGTTAAATACGCTCGTAATGGCAAGATTTAGATATTTTCTCCTTTAGCCATGCATTTAAATTCCATTTATTTAAATGCATTGTTTTCCTTATTTTTTAGATTTTGATAGACATGGTGAAAATAAATGTAAATTGTACATTTGTGCTAGTTATTTATTAAACCTTCCTTTTAAAAGTATGTTCACAAAAAATGAACTTTTATCTGCACTGGGGCACAGGTAGAATCAGTTGCCACCAGATTTTATTTTTTGGTGCCATTGCGAGTAAAAGTGAGAACCTTGACTCATTCAATATAATTAAACAATCAGTCGATAACCTATCTGGAATCTTTATTAGTACCCTACCGGTTTAACCTGAGAGGACTTTAGATTTACTCTCCGTCCGTTTATCTGTCTGTCTCGGGCGTCTGTATGAAACTTGATATATGGGAAGATGGCAGTCTGGAGATAATGCATGTCTTTTACTTTTCTTCCTATCTTAAAATATTTGGTTGCTATGGCAACAAATAGCTAAAAATATGGTAAATATAATATAACAATACATTGCGATAACTCAAAAAGTAATGAAAATATTTTTATGAAACTTAAAATATGGATAGATGGCAGTTTGGAGATTATACAAATCATTTTAATCTTGATATAGGGTGTATAGAGAGCTGTCCTACTCGCCAAGTGTTGGTGACCTTGTCAAGATCGTATGCTTTTTTTATCCCCCGCCGATGGAATCGGGAGGGGGATATAGTTTTGGCGTTGTCCATCCATCCGTCCGTCCGAATTTCGTTTCCGGAGTAGTTCTCTGTAACTACTGGCTGGAATTCAACGAAACTTTATGGGAATCATCAATATCAAGAGGAGATGCGCATCTGTCCGTCCATCCGTCCGAATTTCGTTTCCGGAGTAGTTCTGTGCAACTACTGGCTAGAATTCAACGAAACTTTATGGGAATCATCAATATCAAGAGGAGATGCGCATATCGTCAGCTTGTTCCGGTCAGACCCTTTAACTCAGAGTTATGGCCCTTGATAAGTTATGTAGAATGCATATAGAGTAAAATTTTGTTTCCGGAGTAGTTCTCTGCAACTACTGGCTGGAATTCAACAAAACTTTATGGGAATCATCAATATCAAGAGGAGATGCGCATATCGTCCGCTTGTTCCTGTCAGACCCTTTAACTCAAGAGTTTTGGCCATTGATTAGTTATGTAGTATGCCTATAGAGTAAAAGTCGTTTCCGCACTACTTCTCTGCAACTACTGCCTAGAATTCAACGAAACTTTATGGGAACCTTCAATACCAAGAGGAGATGCGCATATCGTCGGCTTGTTCCGGTCAGATACTTAAACTCAGAGTTATGGCCCTTGATTAGTTATGCAGTATGCATATGGAGTAAAAATCGTTTCCGCGCTACTTCTCTGCAACTCATGGCTGGAATTTAATGAAACTTTATGGGAACCTTCAATACCAAGAAGAGATGCGCAAATCGTCGGCTTGTTCCGGTCAGACACTTTAACTCAGAGTTATGGCCCTTGATTAGTTATGCAGTATGCATATGGAGTAAAAATCGTTTCCGCGCTACTTCTCTGCAACTACTGGCTGGAATTCAACGAAACTTTATGGGAACCTTCAATATCAAGAGGGGATGCGCATATCATCGCCTTGTTCCGGTCAGACACTTAAACTCAGAGTTATGGCCCTTGATTAGTTATGCAGTATGCATATAGAGCAAATATCATTACCGCGCTACTTCTCTGCAACTACTGGCTGGAATTCAATGAAACTTTATGAGAACCTTCAATACCAACAGAAGATGCGCATATCATTGCCTTGTTGGGGTCAGACACTTTAACACAGAGTTATGGCCCTTGATTAGTTATGCAGTATCCATATAGAAAAATATTTGTTTCCTCACTACTACTCTGCAACTACTGGCTGGAATTCAATGAAACTTTATGGGAACCTTCAATACCAAGAGGAGATGCGCATATTGTCGCCTTGTTCGGGTCAGACATTTTTACTTTGAGTTATGACCCTTGATGACTTAGGCAGTATACAACCAGAGCAATAATCTTTTCCTAGCTACTTCTCTGTAACTACTGGCTGGAATTCAATGAAACTTTATGGGATACTAAGAGGAGATGTGCATATAGTCGCCTTGTTCCGGTCAGATACTTATAACTCAGATTTATGGCCCTTTATTAGTTATGTAGTATGCATACATCTCATTGGCATTTCCAGATATTACTATTTAACACAAAGTTATGGCTCTGTTATTGCCCTGAATATTTATCAAGTTCAAAGAATATTACTGTTTATGCCATGATTAATATAGAAATAAAGCCTTATGTCTTCAGTTGTTGTGTTAATAATAACCAGTACTCACGGGGGATATAAATTCAACGAATTTGCTTGTTTTTTACTCAAACACCTTCATTTCACATAGGATTTAATTCAAACTCCCACATCAAAATAATATGACAAGGTTTATAAATCTAACGTCCATTATTCCAGAATTATCTCCTTAAACTTTTTTTTTTCTTATTCATTCTTTAACTTTCTTATTTCTTCATGGATTTACTTGAAATTTAAAACATACATTCATTATCAACATCTACATTATATGTGATTAGATTTATAAGAAGCGCCTGAGTTTCCGCGATTATTTTTATTTTGAACTGGAAATTTATTTGGAAATTGTTTGGTTTTTTTTATTTTCTTCTTTGTAACTATAAATGGTATATTTTAAAACTTTTATTTTTCAATTTCTTTAAACTTAAATTGCTATCATTGTTACACTCACATCATGTATGACAATGTTCATAAGTCTACCATCTTTATTTCAAAAGTTATCTCCTCTTTAATTTAAGAATTTTGCTTTTAAAATGTTTTATTCTGGTAACAACCAGGGATGATTAACAGATTTACCCTCAAACTGATTGTCAGTCCATCTGTCTGTCCGTTCCAAAAAACTCTTTCCAGAGATTACTTTTAAAGAACTTGGAACTTTTCTAACAAATTTACTTAAAATAGAGAAAAAATTAGAGAAGTTGAAACATTAGTTATACAACATATCCATCACCCTTTGATTATCTGTTGTATAAACATAATTTCTTACTAGGCAGGGAAACTTAGCACAATACTGATACAGACAAACTAAGAACTCAAAAGACTTAAGGTCATTCATTCATTCAGTGGTGTAATGGAATGGCCATTCAGAATGTTGCTGTGGTTCTTTGCAGTGGGGGACTTTTGTATAGCTTGCAATATTATGATAATTACTTTTTGTAAAAAAACAAAACAAAATAAAACACACATTTCATGACTTGCTATAAAAAACGAACAACAGCACACATTTCAATATTTAGTATTTAATACCTTAACAATACACATAACAATAGTATCATTACCAGAATGTAACACTAATATATGGGTGTAAACATGGTTGTTCATATACACAATATATATCTCAGTTAGCTGTTTCATATTAAACAAGGGCAAATCTATAAGCCCGCATCCCCCCACCTCCCTCCTAAAGAAAAGTGGTGGAGGCATAAAAACATAATGAGACCTCAAACCTAATTTTGATTTCTTTCTAATAAATTGGCAAAGGCATACATATATGTGCCTAAAGTCGTTTGAAATGTGTTCGCATAAAACTACTAACCATTACG